TTTTGTACTAAGCCAGCCTTAACTCTTAAGAAAATGGTGGGTTTTATTATGAAAATCCTTAGGATAGGATTATTTTATGGTCTTTGAATGTTTAAAATAATAAAATATGGGTTCATATGAAAATCCCATGCGAAAATCACCGAAAACGGGCTTAAAACGAAGTCGTGATCGAAAACCGGGTGGAAAAGGGCTTCTTGCGAAGTCTCTCAGATTGGGCCGAAGTTCAGTCCCTGCTGCTGGGCCCGAAGGTGAAATAGACCGAAAGCGAGAAAGGGCCGAAGGCGAAAGGTGGTTTTGGTCCGAGAAGGTTCGGCTCAACAGGCTTCGGGTTCGGTCCAAGAGGGTTCGGTTCAGCAGGCTTCGATTTCCGTCCAAGAGGGTTCGAGTTCGGTCCAAGAGGGTTCGGGTTTGGTCCAAGAGGGTTTGCTTCCTAAGGGGAGACTTCGGTTCCTTAAGGCTGTTTTACCAATAATTACCCCGTTTTAAGTGGTTTTTGACCCGGTTAAGGGTCGAGATGATCCGGATGACTATAAAAAGGTTGAGAGAGATTTGGGAGAGGTTTCACATACTTAGAGAGATTTGGGAGAGATTTCAGATAAAGAGAGGTTTATAAAGAGAGATTGAGAGGGGCTTCGTTTGCGACCTTTTTGAGTGTTTAACTTCATAAGGCAAGGTTTGTAAACCCCGTTAAGCCATGTTTAAGAGTCTTATACACCCCCGAAGGGTATGCCTTAGTGTTTTATCACTTTGTTACCCCACTTACCCCGTTTAGGGTTTAAGAATTTCGATCATACGAACTTTCCAAGTGATAATTTCTTATTAAAATAGCGAGTTGTACCGTAGCTAACATATTGTAAACCCTAATATACAAAGGTTAACGGAGTTGATCGGTTTGACTTGTTGACTTTATTTGACTTTGACTTGACCAAAATTGACGGTTGTCACACACCATTAATGTCCTGATAGGTAAATTAAGGATTTGCCTCGTGTGGTTATCTAGGTGACGCCTAGCACTTGTTGTGGGATTTTGAGGACATGTTGGCTTTTGAGCTACTTTGCGAGGTGAGTTTTCTCGTTGTACTGTAGGATGATTCCGCAGTGGTTCCATTGGAGGATATTCAGGTAGATGACCGCTTGAATTACATTGACAGACTGGTGGTGATCCTTGACCGGAAGACGAAAACCTTGAGGAACAAGGTTGTGGGATTAGTGAATGTGCAGTGGCAGCACAAAAAGGGTTCTGAGAGGACATGCGAGCCTAAGGAATAGACGAGGGAACATTACCCAAATTTATTTGCGGCATCAAACTTTGAGGATGAAGTTTGATTTAAGTGGGGGAGAGTTATAACGCTCGGTTTGTCTGGTAACTCTTAGCAAAACTATCTCATTTATTTGTTGACTAGGACCCAAGTATGTTGGGCGTACATATATGTACATCGGGCGTACTCTAATACATGCATGAGGCGGGGTGTTCCCCTGGTATGCTGAGTGTACCCTTGCATGCGCATGGCGTATGTGAGTTAGGGGTAAACCCTTATTTTTAGGATTTGCACCCTATCTAAGTACATTAAGTCCCCAAAGTCCTTCACCTTATCAACCTCCGTTGCGTCTTGAGCTATACCTCGAACCTCTAACCCATTTTCCAAAGAGATTAACCTTGTGTGTGTGTGTGTGTGTGTTTTGTGTGTGCGTGGTGTATCTTGAAGAAGAAGAAGAAGACTAGTGGATAAGCATTGGACATTAGGGAGCTTGTACATCCAGAGGTTATTCACCCTTTCTAGCTTATTAAAGGGTGGAGGATTGTTTCATGAAGTTAGTATGTTAAAATCAACGATTTGACCTTTTTAAGCCATGAAAAAACATAAAGTTTGCAACTTTATGGCTTAATACGTTTTAATAAGCTTATATATGAAGTTGGACATTAGATCTTAAGGAATTAAGACCTTAAAAGTAATCAATGGCCAACTGGGGCGTACATGGGTGTACGCTGAGCGTACTCACCCGGAGTCCCGACCTTGCGAAGCACTCGAGTACGTCAAGCATACTGATGGTACACTTAGTGTACTTAACAGAGAGGTTTTAGGGCTTTTAGTTTCGGACCACTTTTGGGCTTATGCATTTGGGCCCTTGTTGGGCCGTAATCCTTGTTGTGTTGGGCCTTTTTGGACTTAAGGCCCATAATGGGCATGGAATGTCTTTTGGACTTTTGGCTATATTAGAGTTGGGCCTTGGTATGTTAGGCCCAATAAGGGAAGGGTTAAGCAACCTTTTACCCTGGAAGCCAAGATTTGGGATTTAGACTCTTGGGTAGGGTTAGTGACCTAATTGCTAATTAGGATTCTATTATTTGTGATTTAGTGAGAGGACTTCACGATTCGACAGCTCGAGTATGATTTGATATCTTCAAACTGAGGTGAGTTTCCTTCGCTTTAATCGTGGGTCAAAGACACCAATGTTGGCTCACTAGACTATATTGGTAGGATGATAGTTATCTTCATGACAATCTCCTGTATTGCTTGTATATGTTTGTTTTCTTTGTGACTCTTACTGTTATGATTATGTGTTAGTTGTAGGGGTGTAATAGACCCAATACCGGTTGAAAGAGATCGAAAAGGTTGAAATATACCTAGTACCGATTGAAAGAGACCGAAGGGGTTGAAATATACCCAATACCGGTTGAAAGAGACCAAAGGGGTTGAAATAGACCCAATACCGGTTGAAAGAGGCTGAATGGGTTGAAATAGACTCAGTTATGCTTTGAGTATTTTGTATATATGGTATCAGGTATTTTGTGGGAGCTCACTAAGTTTTGTGCTTACGATTTTCAGTTTGTTAGAGGAAATAGGGTTACGTTGGAGATTTGGATACCCCTTGGATCGTGTGAACACTTTCTGAACTGATATTTTCTACTCTATGCCCGGGTTGCAAGAAATTCAACCTAGGATAATCCAAGAGGACACTTGCGAATCAGGTATAGAAAACGTAAGCTAAATTGCTAGAAGGATTATGTGTTCGTTTGAAGAAAAAGAGAGCTAACAAATTTTGTGTGTCTTTTCTCAAAGAGAAGAGTCGTTTATATAATAAACAAGATTAGGGTTTCTCTTATGGGTTGCTTTGGAAGCAAGTCAAGGATATCCAGATTTTTAATGAGAATTTAGGGTTTCCAAAACTAACGAATTTCGTTAGTTTTACCATAATCACTATCAACAATTTGAATTTCCCACTATGTTCCCATATGTAAAATTCGGAGACCTTTTGGCGGCGCTGCCCCTCGACCCAGCTAGGGGTGCTGCCCCTAGACCCCGCCAAAGGATCTCTGCCCCTTTGGAAACCCCGGACCCCCGACTTGTTGTTGAACCAACTTCTAATTCGATCTTATACATACGTGTACTTCGCACAAAACCCGTACATATGGTATAGTACAAATTATGAAGTCCCTTAGCTTATATATTAGTTCCAATTACATAAAATGACATGGTGACACTAAAATCACCAACACAGTTTGTGTTTTAGATACTTCCAGCTCGAAAGGGAAGGGTCCGACTTAATCGTACCACATCTGCTCTTGTTTTTCCATATTATATAATTTTGAGATTTGTACTCTGATATTATTTTCATTATGATATACTTTTGGTTGTTTTGACATGAATACTGGATGTTTGAAATGAAAAAATTTATCTGGAAATTTTAGAATGTTAAAAAAAGAGTAATCTAATAGAGTCAAACAACAACGAAAGATATTATCGGGACTATTGAATTTAAAAAAAAAAATGAACATTGGACACAAGGAAAAAATCAACGTTGTTGAGCATTAGCCTAACATTACACTGAGATTGTAGAGTATAAATTTTGAGAAATTATACAAAAATAAGAAGAGTGAAAAACATACGTTGATAAAGAGAAAAGCAAAATGCCCGACTTTTCTATGATAAAAAAATATATATATATTGATGTTGCAATTATGACCGTTTTTATTGATCATTTCTATTGATGATAAGTAAAAATGTTTTTATGTTTTGCTTCGTACTTACTTTGAACCTTGATAGTTGCATGGTGGTTTTGTTAGACAAATCTAAATGTTTGTATAATAACACTAGTAAAAGCAACCCAAATAAAAAAACAATATGTAGAGTTGTAAACAAAACGAACATTCGACGAGAAGTTCGATTATGTTTGTTTATTTAATAAATAAATGAATATGAACGCAAGTTCTCTACATGAACAAGCCTCCCGTTCGTTCATTTATGTTCGTGAACTTTATTTATATTAGTCGTTGAAGTTTATTTATCTTCATATATATTCTATTGTTTTTTATTACAATATTATATTATTTGTTCGTTTATGTTTATATATGTTGAGTTGTATTTGTTTATCTATGTTCATTTGTGTTCGTCCGTTTATCATTTCACGAACCTAAACAAACGAACATGAATAATGTAATTTGTTAAACTAACGAACATTAACAAGAAAAGTCATTCATTTATCCGTTCGTTTGTTCGACTAAGTTAAATGAACAAACAAAAAAAGTCTTTGTTCATGTCCGTTCGGTTCATTTACATCTCTAACAACATGCAACATATACATATTAATATTTTTAAGAGAAAATCTAACAACACAAATAAATAGGGGAATATTTTCATATACATATAGCAAATTTAGTAGGAAATAGAGAACATAACTTTTTTTTTTTTTTTAATATATACATATACCAAATACCTAGGCTCCATTCCCATTAAGATTTTTATTTCCGATCTTGTCTAAGTCCACCATAGGCCATAGCAAATGCTCAAATATTAGCTTATAGAAAAAGATTAGAATTTAACAAAGTAACAAAAAAAAAAAAACGCTTTAAAATTGCATATGACGGCTGCACAGATTTAACCAAGATCAAAATATTAATAACGATTAATCTATTTGCCTTTTCAAAAAAGAAAAAAAAGAAAAAAAACATATAGCACAGAAGGAAATTTGTGGTTTACTCTATCTCTTATTTGAGATTAATGGGTGATAATGAAATCATAAATAGAGTTAAAGTTGATGATAACAGAGCAACGCGTGCGCAAATGTCTCGTAAAAGCCAAAACTAAATTCAAAACAAGACAACAGGAAAAACCATAAATTTGCATTTCAAAACCATTGCTCAAATCCCCTTATTAGCTGTTAAACACACACATCATAAAAATCCCAATATTTATTACCATCTCAACCGTTCTACAATCCTAGATAGATTCACAGAATTGAATGAATCCTGGGAGTTCAAGATTGCCCAAATCTTTAAGTGTCGGAATTTATCACCACTTCAAGTCAATTCATCCGATCTACTCTATCTATTTAAACCCTAATCTTGTTGTATCATTACAACAAACTCATAACAAACCCCAAGTACTGATGGGTTGCTTCGTTTTGGCTTCTGGGTATTGACTTTCTCATCTGGGGTTTGCAGTTCTTGGTCAGTTCTTACGTTTTAGCTATCTGTATCAGTCTCTTGATTATAACGATTCTGTTTTCTGCGCATGTTTTGATTCGTTGAAACTAACGTCCGTTGATGATTCAAGTGAAAAAAAAGTCTCTGAAAAAATTATGGGCCAAGTCAACTTGTTTTCTTCTTGAAATTCAACAACGATGTTACGATTTAGCGAGGAATGTATGAGTTTTCTTTAAAGGAATTCAGGTAAATTCCATGGTTAAATACCTTAATTTCTCAGTTATTTGAATCCGTTAACACCAGTCTCCCATACCGAAATTGTAGTAGGTGTCTAGTCAACCTCGGATGAGGTTCGCTAGAAAACATATTCTGATATTCGGATTGAATGTTTGTTAAAATCTGCTACATTTGGATATGAAAAGTTAACCCATGGCTGTAGGTTTCTTGCACTCATAAAGAAATCTTCTTTCCAACGCTATCTGTGGAATGGATTCTTTCTTTGTATAACAGTTATCTTGTTTTCCCTATAATAGTATAATCCCATACCTATATCTTATAAGTTATGTCTACCTTTATTCAACTCAACTTTATTGTCTATGTTATGTCTTTCCCCTCTCCATCCCTGCCCATCTGCATTCAAACTTTCAAAATTAGGGTTTTTCATAATAATTTTGGTTTGATTTCAACTTTCAGGATCAAATCAAATACCACAAGAAAGCAAGAACATGGCTCCTGGAGGTAATGTTTACCAGGATGTGACTGAATCACGTGCTGCCATTGCTGATTACAGTGTCAAATCTGCAAATGTGGAAGGAAGAAATGGCCTCAGAATATGTAATTCTATTGGTGGAAGGCCTGGAATGGCATCAAACAGTGCTGTTCATGATCTACTTGAGTGCCCTGTATGCCTCAACATAATGTGTCCCCCAATTCATCAAGTACGTTTTTTTTTTCTCTTCCCAATTGACCAATTCTCATGTGAATAATGAATACAAATAAGAATTATGTTCTAAATTTGAATGTTTATGTGTAGTGTCCAAATGGGCACACGATATGTGTGATTTGCAAGACTAAAGTTCAAAACAGTTGCCCGATATGTAGACAAGAGCTTGGAAATATAAGGTGTTTGGCTTTGGAAAAAGTTGCAGAGTCCATTGAATTACCATGCAAATACCATGTTTATGGTTGCCAAGATATTTTAGCATATCACAGCAGGATGAGGCATGAAGAAGATTGCAAGCATCGAGGGTATAATTGTCCTTACGCAGGTGCAGAATGTCCAGTCACCGGTGATATTCCATTCATTGTTGCACATTTGAAGACCGATCATAATGTTGATATGCATGATGGCTCTAGCTTCAACCACCGGTATGTGAAGCCTAATCCTCATGAGATCGAGAATGCTACTTGGATGTTGACCGTAAGATCTACACTTCACCCCCTTTTAGAAATACCAAGTAACGTAAACAGTCCCTGTGAGCTAATAAGATTTTGGGTGTGCAGATTTTCAACTGCTTTGGATACCAATTCTGCTTGCATTTTGAAGCTTTTCATCTGGGAGCAGCACCGGTTTATATGGCGTTTTTGCGGTTCATGGGGGATGAAAATGATGCTAACAAGTTTAGTTACAGTCTGGAAGTTGGAGGAAATGGTAGAAAGTTGAAGTGGCAAGGGATCCCGAGGAGTATTCGTGATAGTCACAAGACTGTTCGTGATAGTCTTGATGGGCTGATTATAACAAGGAATATAGCGTTGTTCTTTTCTGGTGGGGACAGGCAGGAGCTGAAGCTAAAAGTGTCTGGACGCATATGGAAAGAACAGTCTTGAGCTACAACCTGGAAGTGGAAGTCATACTCACTGGACTGACTTCCAGGTTCTGGCTCAAGACTGATATAGAGCCCTGTGGCTCTAACAGAATTCACATTTTTAGAGTCTAGTTTATTGCTTGATATTTTTGCACAGGGGTGAGTTATTACGGGGGATGTTGATGAAAGTTGCCTGGTGCTCATTTATCAGGGTAAACTTTGTCCGAAACAGAAATATTTTTCAAGTCATTGTCATGTTGTTGCTCTTGGCTAAAACGATCAATTTCCATTGATAATATGATTCTAATAAAGAAAACGTAAGTAGGGAGAAAACTACAACATTTGCAAGGAGCGGTGATCACTGGATTTTGTATCCAGAAGACCCGGTTTAGAGTAGTTTTATGTTTCCTATCATTAAACCAATTGAACTAATATTCCACTAGAGACTCAAAAATAGTGTCATGTCAATGTTTTTTTATGGCCACCAACACTCTACGAAGAATGGAGTGGGAAGCATAAAGTGACCACCAATTGAAAGCATCTCCACTTTCCAATTATACAATTATTTTTCAGACCTGTCTATGACCGTTTTCCAACCCTACGCCCTAGCCATTTTTGACCCGACCGGAAGACCAAGATATAAAAATGGAGTTTATCTGCTCCATACCCTGTCAGAACCGCATGTTGTTCCACTGAATCAAAATTAACTCTGATATCGTCATACATGTTCCATTTGTAAAGATATTCTCTTGCGACCAAATCCCAAGAACTAAACGTTATTGTCGCCAGTTGTGAAACACTAACGCCACCAATACCAACTTTGGCTCCTTGTAAAGATTGGTGGTGGCAACCACTCATTGTCGCCAGTTGTAAACCTTCGAGTATGAATAAGAAGGGAGATAACAAGTATTCCTATTTTTTTTTTTTTTCATTCTAGATGGTGTATTCTTCAATTGTTGGGTCACTTGAAGCTAAAGTTGAAATAAGATTTGATTAGAGGTTGGCGGCTAGTTTTCTCAAATGGCATTTGGCCATCCATCGCATAGCATGATAGAAGCACTAAATACTAACCCTGAAGCTCTGGAGTCGAGACTTCCAACAAAATCAAATAACATGTTTCCAACAAAAACACACTGGTTGATATCCAAAAAAGTAACCAAGTTTAACACGCCATAATAACATTATGGCTTCCTTGAAGCAAAGCATACACATGACAATGAAAATGGCATACATATAACCAGCGATTAGGTACAGTTACAAACAACAATATATTATAAATACGGGTCAACATCACGACTAGACTAGTTGACTACTCAGAATCTGGACCACTACTGGTGTCCTTGATTCACAACAACACATGAGTTTACAACAACCACTTTACACACCACCTCTGTCTTCTGTCCTCTACCCTCTCTCTCTCTCTCTCTCTGCACACTGCACATGACAACAAACACAGAGAGAGAGAGAGAGAGAGATCTGGTATCATCAGCATACACAGCAGCATTTCAAAATTAAATACAATACAAGTAGTTTTCAAACCCACATACCATTATCATATAATGATTCAAGACACAGTTCTTCCATAGCAAATGCAGGCAAGATACAGATTTTTAGCCCACTTCTCCTGCACATACCATTTTATAAATCATAAATGAGGAACAACCAAAAAGCTGAATGAGAAAATGTATGAAAACTGACCTTAACATGTGTGCTTGGAAACTGTGATGTGCGCAAAGTTTCCTGTGTTTCATCGCCAGGCTTGTGGCGAGGCACACTCAAGATAAGAGCAGCTTGATCCCAGGTGGCAGCTGTTGATGTAATACGGTAACCATTATCCCACCTTCTATGAATCCCCTCACTTGGATATAGAAAATCAAGCTCCACCACCTTATTATACACCCACCACATTAATCCCATACCAATATAATTATAATATTTAATTATTTATATGTTATGCTACCTTACCTGATCACTGAAGCCAGCATTACGGGACATGACAACACCCCAGCGGGTACCCGCGGTTGCCATGGATGTCACATGAAACCCTTCTCTCCATTTCTTGTTTATCCACTTGAAAGGGAACGAGTCGCTAACTTTGTAAGACTGTTGAGAGTACTGTGTCCCTAAAACTTCATAAAATAAGAATACACAACACATGCAGTATGCATCATATACTACTCTTAGAAGAAAAGCTCAGCATACCTTTTGACATAACCACCAGAGAGCTTCCATTGTTAGCACCAGCAATGGAGCTGATGTAATAGTTCTTCTCCCATTGTTCCATAATCCATTCCTGCAACATCCATCAATATTATTAAATAAATAGCTTTCTTTTTTCCCAAACACAGCATTTATCACTCAATAGTCTGTACCTTGTGTAAGAAGAAAGGAGACAGTTCATAAACTTGGCTTGAAAACCCTGTCCCAGCATCCATTATCAAAGCCCATAAGTTGGAACAAGATGACACACAGCTTATAAGTAAGCCATCAGCATTTCCTCTCTCGACATGTTGGCTTAATCTTGCATCTGCAACATTGTAATGATACCTAATGCACCACAAACCCATTTTAGATACAAGAGGCCCAGAGAATATAAAATAAATCAAAGGTAGCACCAACCTTTGTTTCATTGGTAGCCTGGCATTGTAAATTGAAATCCACTGTGTTGCAGGGACTCCCATTCGGATTTTCTTTGAAGGCTGTCCATCATCATCCTCATCAAGATTCAATCTGCCCCGTTTTTGACCAACTTGACAGATGATCTGAAGTTTAAAAAAAACAAAAGTGATTAACTCTTTAATTTAACAACAGATCATATGATACACACTAGTAAGTTAAGTAGCAACAAAATGAATCACCTTTTGAGCACCATCTGTGTTTATGGGCCTTATAGCAGGATTGGGTCCTATTAGTCCCTCGAACAAAGAAATTAGCTTCGAATAGTTTGGTTCTTCATCAAACTTCATATTCACAACTATCTCCAGAAACTGCCTTACAGGTGCAGGGCAAAACACACACAACATTTCAGGAGATGTCGCCATTTTCTTCTTGCACACTAGAAATGATTTATTGTCACCCTAAAAAAAACAACATAAGATTACCAAAGCACAATCTCATATATATATGCCAATAAAAGAATCTGGTGAATCATGATGTAATAATTAATACCTGATACCCTTGCCAAGGAAGCCTGCCTCGATGAAGAAATATGAGTGTATATGCAAGAGATTCCAGATCATCTCTTCTACTTGCAGTCCTACCCAAGTGTGCATGCACACTAGCATATCTAACTGTTCCCCTGCAATCACACGGCTATTGAATATGAATCCAAATGGACATTAAGTAACACAATACTACAGTTTGTTTCAAGAAACTGGTGATTTTAATTTGACCTGAACATGTCAGGCCGTTGGTCATAGTCAACATGTTGACCATTAGCAGTCTCTCGCCACTTTGTTGCTGCATTTAGTATCAATCAAAGCATTAAAGAATAAAGAGGAAACCATGAAGTAACTAAAGTTAATTTCTACAAGTAAAATGAGATTTCTTACCCAACCCCAGGTCAACAAGAAATAATTTCTTTTCTTGAGATGTTGATGGCTGGCCAAGTAAAAAGTTCTCTGGCTTTACATCTCCATGCACGTAACTAAGGAACAGAAGTCATTCAACATGGTGGAATGAAAGAAACAAGGTCAAATATATGTTTGTATCAACTTGAAAACTAACAAAAGAAGCATATGAGTTATTTAGCATACCCTCTTGCATGCAGCTTATCCAAAATTGACAAAGCTTCCACAGCTATACAAGCTACCATTTCAGATGACATCCTGGATATTAGAAATGGTTAACAAACAAGAAACCAAGAACAATGCAAAACAAACAAGGATTTCTTTCCATGTGCACAAGCTCAAGAACTCACGATTGGCCAGAAGAATTCCAAACATCCCATAGACTAGGTCCAAGCATGTCCATGACCTGAAAGAGTGAGAAAAGGCATAAAGACAGCAGATTGCTATAAATAATGTTGTCTAGCTTTCAAAAATAGTGAAAGGGAAAAGACATAAATTAGAATTATCATACCATCACATAATACTCTCCTTGTTTTCCTTTATAATGTACTTTAGGCACACCATGACTGCCACCTAGAGTGCTGTTGGATCAAAAAGAACATCAATGCCACTTATGGTTTTGAAAAAAAGAACATGTTTAACTTGACTAAGATAGAACCCAAAATAAGCACATACTTGTAAACTTGCCACTCGTATGGAGGACCATAACTGCAGCCTTTGCTGTTTTTGTGCTCAAATTTAAGAGCTACCTGTTACAAAGAGAAGCAGAGGAAAGAAGTTAGCCAAATCCAATTTTAGAAAAAAGAATATAAATGAAAATGATTGGTTATGGAAAATATTACCTCCATGGCTCCAGGACCTGATATTCGTTCAGTTCCACCAGAAACACGGCGACCTACAAATACCTGACCAAAACCACCTTTGCCTAGCTTCCTCTCAACCTTATATTGTGGTGATCCACCTACTTGAACCTGAAAACCAACCAATGAAAGATCAAAGAAAGTATCTACTGATGTATTCAAATGATCAATTGACTGATTGAGAGATTCGATAAGCTATGATACAACAATTCAAATAGATTATACTTAATGACATCTTGCCTAAAAAGTATAAGCAAGTGCAGACACAAGGGAGACTACAAACATTAAAAATATAAAAAAGGCAACCAGAAAGATGATCAAGGGCTTTCAAATGGTTCATGGGTAGCTAAGACTATCAATGGGAATTTCCCTAAACCATCATGCATCTAGCTCTACATGACAACTATGGAAATATAACCACAACTTCAGAAACTTCATTCCAGTAATTAAGAAGTTCATTTCCTTACTGAGACCATGCAAAAATAACAGGCTTAAAAATTTCAAAACAAAATCGAAAACAGAGAGAGTGTGTAGTACCCTATCAGGAAAAGGGGCAGTATTTCCTTCTTCCTCCTGACCGGTAACCTTGTTAGCGCTCAATCCGCCGCTATCCCCCATCCGTACTTCTTTGACTGTTTCTTTTCCTCTCTCCTCTGTTTCGGAAACAACAACCAACGTGGGTGGTGCTAAACCCTCTTTCTCCTCCTTTGTCTGCTTAGTCTGCCGCCGCGGATTCTTCTGTTGTTTCACCTCAACCAAAGTCGCCGCAGCCGCTCGAGTTTTGACGTGCTTACCAACCAATTGCTCCGATCGTTTCTTCCCCGCCGCAGCCTTCGGCGAGCTGAGACCTTTCTTCTTGTCGACTACAGGTGAAGCACGGGCACGACGTACTCCACTGCGCAGCTCTGGCATTTCCTACATGACAATAAGAACCTACTAACTCCTGAATCTACCATTATCTATGATCAAACCCTAAACATAATCAACTATTTCCCAGCAAGTAAACAAACCCCAATCGGAACGACTATTTCCTGTACGTAGTCAACAATATTTTCCAGAGAGGATATGATCGGTGGTTTTGAAGATTACTGAATAAAGAAATCAAAGTGGGTCTGGTCTGGAGAGAAGGTTATAGATATAGGTTTCTTGTATGTATTGCTTAGGTCAAAAATCAGGGGAGATAGGGTGAAAATGAAAACGGCTCTTCTTCCTTCCGTAAAGATATTTTTGTCCCCGCGACAATCAATTTTAGGTATTTTTAGTTATCGTTGTGTAATAAATTTTTTTATTATTATTATTATTATTCTTTTATAATCTTTACAATTCTTAAAGTGAATTTAAAGTGATTCATTTTAATATATATATATATATATATATATATATATATATATATATATATATATATATATATATATATATATTGTTGTATAAGTTTTGATGAACTTTTATTCAATAAAAATATATTATCTATAAATCTTTTTTAATAATTAATCTTTTCAAAAAAAAACTTTTTTGAAATAAGGGTATCTATCTTAAAATCTTCATAAGTCTTTTTTATATAATTTGTCATTTTTAGTTTTTAGGTATATATAATATTTTCAAAAAATAGTAATTTACTTAAGTATTTAAATATATAAAAAATATTATAATACGAAATATTTTGCCATAAAAAACAATATGATCACAATATTTTATATTTGTTTTATGTTAAAAATTTTGAAAATTGATTTATAATGACATAAATTTTATTAATTATATTATTTTTACTATTCATATATAATTAAATAGATTAATTAATCAAAAAATAATAAAGATAATGCTATCCACATATAAACTATAATGTAAAATGGAATGATATTAAAAGCAAGAGTCAAAATATGCAAAACTTATAAGAATAATAAATTATCGGATGTTATTAAAATTATGTTTGTCAGACTAGCTAAATAATTGAAATGATAGTAAAAATTAATGTTTGATAAGAAAAATGATAAGTTAACTAAAAATATAAAATAATATAAAATATAAATAAAAATAATTATATATTATAAAAAATAAAATATATAACACAAAACATATAAGATAGTAATATGTTTGAGATATTATATCTAAATATGTTTAATCACATTTAGATATTATATAAATCTATTGTGTTAAATCATCAACTCATGATCTTTATTTTGTATAGACAACTATAAGATATAAGATTGGTAAGAATATAATATGAGGTTGTAAGCTTAAGAAATCATCGATCTTTCAACTCGTTATGTTTGCTATTCAACTTTTATATTACAAGAATAATAGTATATAATTCTAATAAAAAAAATTCAAAGCTAATGTTTTTAGGATTAAGTATGACAATTCTCTTTACTAATATAAAAAACTGTTCATGTACCTGAATATTTTAATATTATTTTATGTAGTTTTAAACGATTTTTTTATTTTAAATAATCTAACATTTATAGGTTTAATGCGTGTTTTTTAAAAGAAAATATGTATATGTAATTAATATATGTGAATATAAAAAAATCATGAGTTTAATATATATCTGATTTATCGTCCTTAAAATTTAAAGGGTATGTTTCTACTAAATTTCGTTTATTAAAATGTAAGTCTAACTAAATTTTTTTTTAATAATGATGAGAAGTTAGCTTATAATTTATAATTTTTTTAACAACAAAAACTTAATTAAAACTCAAGAAGCTAGAGACAAGACCAAATTACAAGGATGACATAATAAATTTTGGATCAAACAACCAACAATTCCAATCAATTTTGCAATTCCTACGCCTATTTTTACCCAAAAATAAGCAAAAGAACGAATGTCATCAAATATCACATCTTTACGGGGCTTCACCATATTAAACACCATCTTGTTTCTATAACTCCATATGCTCCAAAACGTAACCATGACCACCGCATCAAAATTACATTTAGCCTCCACATCAATTATGAGATTGTTACTCCAATTGATCAGATTAGTTATAGAACAATTGATAGTAATGTCCACATCCCACCAAGCTGCGATTATATCCCAAGTAGCAGCCAATATCGAACAGTGGAGTCGACTAGCACTAAAACACAATAAAAATCAGGCAAATTATTATACGAAATTCCCGACCACTAGGCCTGAGCATCTAGGATACACATTCATCATGAATCTACTCTCTCAAGAGTGGCTAATCATTCCCCCACATTGTTCTGCTATGAACTGTTCTTATTCATGAAACTTCCACCAACCCTGCAGCCACTCGTGCATGCTAATCATACATAATGTTGGATCCCATAAACAGTCGAATAATTGATTCTAACCTACACCCTTTATCAGAAAAGAACAATAAATAAAGCTAAATCAAACATTATCAAGCTATAAAATCTTAGTTGTGTACAACTATAATGCACACTAAGCAACTACAGTAATGATGTCAATTTCCTTTAGCATACAAGAGAGCCTCCTAAGCTATCAAGTATCATACATCATGCAATTATATCATGTCATTCCTGAAGATCCCTAGCCTACAACTATCATGCAGTTCTATCTTAAGCATCAAAGCATCATAAGCAAATAACAATATAGGTATCTTGGGGTAAATTTTCTTGCTCTGACTGATTGTACACATCTCATCATTCATTAGTTACGTATGAAAATAATTTGAAATTAATTTGAAAACTTTCACAGATCCTTAGTTTGAGTTTGGATTCATACGAATGTACATCCAATCCACTCAAACCAGAGCTTTGATACCAAGTCGTAACAATCCAAAAATCACGGTAAAATTTTCTTTTAACAACCCAAAACAATAAATGTTTACAAACATAGTTTCCAAAGTGTCAATAGTCATAAATAAGAGTATCTCAAAATCAAATCTCATAAAAACTGAAGGATATGCACGATAAAGCCTTTGTCTTGTCCCGATCATTTGAAGTACCTAAAAACATGAAACCAAACTGTAAGCACAGAGCTTAGTGAGTTATCCAAATGACCAACATACAAACATATAATATATTCAATCATACAAGGTGGGTCTAATCAGTCATCGAACTGGAATACTCTCGGGTCCACAACCTCCCGGTTGGATTACCCTAGGCCCACAACCTTCTGTTGGAATGCCCCAACCCACAACCTTTCGGTTGGATTGCCTAATACATATTGGGTCCACGACCTCCCGGTTGGATTGTCCTCGGCCCACAACCTTCAGGTTGGAATGCCCCGACCTACAACCTTTCAATTGGATTGTCTAATACGTATTGGTCCACAACCTCCCGGATGGATTACTCCTAGCCCACAACCTTGCGGTTGGAATGCCTCAGCCCACAACCTTTTGGTTGGAATGCCCCGATCTGTTAACTAACAACACAAAGCAGTACATACTCAACCCCACCACATCATGTCGACATATGCATAACAAATAACAGATATCCATCAACAAATAATCATATAACCAATCATCAGAAAAAAACATGCAAATCTACAGATCACTACAACATAGTAACATCATATATACCAGGACACATATCTAGTGGGCTGACATTGGTACCTTCGACACACAAGTATAGTGAGGAAAAACTCACCCAAATCGAAGAACTCTGAAACATTGTGATACGATACCTTTTCTGAATTGCTTGCACCCACGACTAACACTAGAAATAGATAGAATCTCAATCAATAGACCAAAATCCTCAAGTTTGACCCAAAGTCAAATTTGGTCAACGGTCAACAGAGGTCAACAAAAGTCAAAGTCCAAGATTGGTTGTGTATACCTATAGGGTTTTGAGCATTCTAACACTCCTAGGTGTACATGCAACCCTATAAAACCTTGGATCTATGTTTGTCTAGAAATACATGCAAAATACTTTTTCCAAGGTTCATAATCCTATATAGCATACATGGGGAACTTTAACATAAAAGATGGCTAGAATTACATACCTTGTAGTTGATTTGATTCCTTGGAAACCGTGAGAGCCTAACACCCCAAGTGTGATGCCTCAGATGTTTCACACAACACCAAGTGCTTTGGAATGACTTTGAGAGATATGTAGAACACTTGAAAATCGGTCTGGCCCTCTTGCAACTTCATGTAGCCGATTTTGGTGAATGTCATGTTCTTTATATAGTGTGTTACATCTAAGGTTACACCATGTAAACCCTAATGTGACATGACTCTTCATTTCTATGACCCATGGGTTTGTAACTCCCATGGATCATCCATGGAGCATCCTATGGGTCTTAGCCCATCTTGATAAACCATGAAGCCTTTAGCCTGCTATACAAGTTATGGATGATTTACATAATCAACCTATATATTTAATTAGTCTTCTTTTGATCACTTAATTAATTCCAAATTAATTCTTGATCAATACAAATTAAATAATACTATTAATATATTAAAACTTATAATAATATATTAATAACCACAAGTGTTATTTCTCTCATTTAGTCTATCCAAATGCATGATGCCATGCAACCCAAATGGACCATGCGGGGTCGGGTCAAGTACATACCATATATAGTTATGGACTTAGACACCTTATCCAATAGTCTCCAATTTGGATAAGTCTAATAACTATAACTGCAAGTATGACTTCAGGAACCGATCAGCAATCGTAGCTCTTTCAAGGTCTCGCGGAACTGTGAAGATGATGATACGTCATTTAAGATAAGTGATCATATAATCCTCTGTTCTAGATATCATGCGGACAAATACATGGATACAATGTCTTACTTATTATCCAACAGTTTGTTTCCTGATTTCCGATTTGTTTGACAAAGAACTTAATCAAACACATCAATTTAGTTCTGACCGGGCCCGATACATAGGTCAAAACAAAATCATCGAGGGGCCCAAATATCACTTTTAATCCAAGAAGGAACAGATAAACTTCGACTCATATGCTTGGTCTACTACTTGTTGAATCACACACAAAAGCACACTTTATAACATCGAGTTACCAATGTGGTTTCGTACGATCAATGTATAACCAACTCATAGCCAACAAGTCATATCTATGGGTTTGAAGACTTATATGATATTACCGTCTCACGACCACTCGAGATAAATTCCATGAAGTGATACTAATAAACGTGGGTTGATTCCAATACTCAAAACTTATGAGTACTCATGAAGTGTTGTAACACCACTTGGTTGCAGACCAACCTCAAGACAATCTTGATTCATATCTACTTCCGACATATGACCGACTGTGGAGAATTTGAAAACTATGTAATACACAACATAAATATTTTTGAAGTCAAAACCTGCAACAAAAATTATAGTCCTTCTTCTATACGATACCTGATGAAATGATATTTTATGTCGATGTGTCTGGATCTCCCTTGATCCCTTGGTTCCTTTGCTAAAACAACTTCACTTCACTATCACTGGAAAATTTCCATAGGCTCCTTTATAGTTGGTACTACTCCAAGGTCTTCAATGAAGTTCTTCAGTCATATCGCCTACTTTGCTGCCTTGCTTGCTGTTATATACTCTGATCCGCAAGTTGAATCAGCCATTGTCTACTGCTTATAACTTTTCCAAGTAATTGCTCCTCCATTTAAGGTAAAAACCTATCCCGACTGAGAGCGGAAATTATCCCTATCAGTCTGGAAGCTAGCATCACTATACCCTACAACTCTCAAGTCATCACTCCCGCCGAGGGTAAGGACTTAGTCCTTAGTCCTCCAAAGGTACTTGAGAACATTCTTTACCGCAATCCAGTGAGCCTTGCCAGGGTTCCCCTGATATCTGCTGACCATGCTCAAGGTAAAGGCCACATCAGGATGAGTACAAGTCATAGCATACATGATCGAGCCTATAACGGAAGCATAAGGTACTCGACTCATTTCTGCTATCTCAGCCTCAGTACTCGGGCTCTGAATCTTACTCAATCTGGCGTTACTCTGGATAGGTAACTCTCATTACTTGGAATCATGCATGTTGAACCTCTTCAACACCTTATCCAAGTAGGTACTTTGACTAAGTCCAATTAGTCTTTTACTCCGGTCTCTCATAATCCTTATCCCTAGAATATAGGCAACTTCTCCTAGGTCTTTCATAGCGAAACACTTCCCAAGCCAGGACTTCACTTCCTGCAAGGTTGGGATGTCATTTCCTATGAGTAATATGTCATCCACATACAGTACCAAAAAACTAACTATACTCCCACTAGCCTTGACATATAGATAAGATTCATCTTCACTCCTCGAAAATCCAAACTCTTTGACTTTCTCATTGAAACAAATATTCCATCCGTGAGGTGCTTATTTCAATCCATAGATGGATTTCTCAAGCTTACACACTCTATTAGGGTATTATGTGCTGACAAAACCCTCTCGCTGGCACATGTAAACATCTTCAGCCAAACTTTCATTAAGGAATGCGGTTTTGACATCCATTTGCCATATTTCATAATCATGAAATGCACCAATGGCTAATAGGACCCTAATAGACTTAATATTTGCTACTTGTGAAAAGTTCTCATCATAATCAACTCCTGGAGTTTGAGAAAAACCCTTTACAACCAGTCGCGACCTATATGTGTGTACATTACCATCCATGTTGGTCTTCTTCTTGAAGATCCATTTGCACCCAACTGTCTTACGACCTTGTACATTGTCAACCAAGTTCCAAACTTGATTGTCATACTTGGATTGTATCTCGCTATCCATTACCTCTTTCCATTTAGCAGACTCGGGGCCTGCCATGGCTTCCGCATATCTATTAGGTTCATCCAGAATTACCAGTGTCTCATCACTGATAAGTGACTCACCCTCCACGGTAATATGAAAACCATAATAGTGCTCAGGTGCATTCCTAACCCTTGTGGAACGCCTCAGAGGTACAGACTCGTCAATTGGATCAACAAGAGTTTCCTCCTTAGGTTGAATACTAGGGTTTGAGGTTCCTTCACCGC